TGGTGAGTAGGGTTTCTTTGTCGGCTCGCCAAGTGCTGCCGGCTAGGGACTTGAGGACTTTGTTCCTAGCTCGCATTTTTCGCAGGCGGCTAAGGCGTGCACTGAAAGGAGAATAGTCTGTCGACCTTTGGGATGGTTTCAGTTGCAGCCTAACCTCCTTAGTCCATGTGGTGAACAGTGCGGCGGTGGATTTCAGGGCGGAGATGGTGAAGCTCCTGGCAGTGAAGAAGTTTGCAAGATCGGTGAGATACTCATTGATTTTCCCGCAAAGGCTGTCGATATTGGGACCGCGACTAGGACTGTCCTATCACAGGGACGACGTCGGTTCTGTGTGCTATATGCATTTTTCGGCATCCATGTGTTCGGCTGGTTTCAAATATTTCGGCAGGCTGGGGAGGAGTAGTGCTTCCATTGTCTTTGCCACTGGGGACAAGAGGGAGATTGGCCGGTAAGAGTCCCCTGTGTTCACCTTCTTTCCTGGCTTAACGAGGGGAATGATGCTACCCGTTTTCCACATCTCGGGGATGATCGTCGTTATGGTATTTCCAAATGTAACGGCAACGTTTTCCTTACGTTTCGTCGGATGTTAGGGATTTTACTGTCGTCCACAGTTTACTGACTCCGCTGGAGAGATTGTAGTTTTCCAGATGCTCGTTCCACGTTTTCCGCTTGTGTTTGATTACCAGTTTACTAATGTCCTTGTTGAAATCCCTGATGTGGGTATCACCAGGATTAGATTGGCGGATTCGATCACGCACGTCTGCGAGTCCCGCCGCTTCTGCTGGGAAGCCCGGACGGAATTTGGCGATCCTGTCGGCTGGTGTGATGCGGGCGGCTGCTACGTTGAAGATCCGGCGGATGTTGCCCTCAGCTTGGCGCGCGCATGTTGGTGGTGGAAGAGTGTTGAATTTGCGGTTTGTGTGTACCGTAAAACCGTCCTAGTTAGTCTTCATTGTGTTCATGGACGTACGGTTTTCGGATGTAACAAAATCTATTGGGTGGTCTATCGCGACTACTATGAGCCGGTATTGGACCGCGTTATGCAAAATAAAGGCGATGCCGCCTCCAGCGCGCCGAGGGCGATCTCTTCGGATGACGTTGAACTCGTCCTGACTCTGAAGGCTTGAGCCACAGTGGAGGTTTTGTTTCCTGGACCGCCGCGACTGAGATTTCATTGCGCCTCATGGAGCTGACTATCTCAGCGATCTTGCTTTAAAGTTCGTAGCAATTGAACTTCAATAGTTTTATTGAGCTGGTCCTGGTGACGTTTATGCGTGGAGTGGGGGAGTACTGGTGCGCTGCCTGAACTGCTTGCTGTGTTGATTGCGGATGTGGTGGTCTTACCGCTGGTGTTGGCGTTGGTGTGGGTGTGTACGTGGGCCGCGGTTGCGGGGTTTTCGCTGGCGTTGACGTTGGCACTGGTGCAGGTTCAGGCATTGGGAATTGTAAGGGGGCGGAGCAGCAGTCTGCAGTAAAAGCGGTACTCCCCTCGCGATGGTGCATGAGGCTGGAGCAGCGCTTCAGGTGCCACCAATTGTTGCATGCGTTGCATCTTACTGATGTAGTATTACGCCTCACCAGGTTGGTGCAGGCGCTACAGAATCATCTGCTTTGGGTGGATGTCCGGCGTTGCGTGCTGGGAGTTGGTCCACTGGCTGATGGTTGGACGGACGTTGTTATGTGGAGTGTTGATGCAACAAAATTAGCCAGTTAATTAGTTATTGCAGTTGTTGCAACGGTCATGTGAACGAGTGGTGAATTTTTATGTGGCAGACTTGCCGGTGGGTCATGCTTCCAATGCGAAAAAATGGGGGGTTGCTGCTCGGGTGATGGTCCTTTGTCGTAGTGGCTGCTCCGAGTCAATCGGGTAACGTAGAACCGACCATTTTGAAAGTCGTAGGTTGTTATTGTTGTTGTTGTTGTTGTAGTTGCGGCTACTTAGCCCTGTCTGGAATTAACTATCGGCAGGTTCACGAAACGTGCTGTTTCGACGGAAGTGATAGTTGGGTTGGATTGAGTGGGCATGTGAAGAGGTGGTTGGTCTCCTGTGGGTAACCTTCACATGGCGGACATACATCGTCGGGGTCTTGTCTGGAAAAACTCCTGGTTTAACCCACTATAATATCCAGGGCTCGAATCGGCCACATACGATATCGCACTACTCATCACGTAAAAACACATTTTTCGGATTATGACATACGTGAACGTACTCTTTGTCCAATTCAGCTTATACTGCCGATCCGGGAACGGATGTTACGATTCGAGCCCAGACCGTATTTACGTCAGAGTACTATTAATTTAAAAGTGGAATGGTGGATAGTACTTCAGGCCGATCTTACGATTTTTGCATGGCTACCCGCCTCTAAGTTTGTCCCCAAGGGTGTTGCTGGTATACGTGTAGTTTTCTTGATCGGCGCTTATGTATTTTTGTAGGCTTGTTCTAGTGAGATTGCTCGATTGGTTTATGAAGGTCAACTAGCTAGCGATCACGTAAGTAGACCCACACAATAAGTCGACCCAGAAAGTTTAGAAGTATTAGCTAACAAAAGAATGAAGAGCTAACCTTAGGAACTATAAAGTTGTATTATAATGTGAGCAATAGTATATACTTACCTGCGTGTCGTACACAAGAATAAATAATGCACGCTCTTTATGTGTAGTTGCAGTTAGTTTCTAATTGCCTACAAATTTACGGTTTATTAAGTTTTCTTGTTTAATTTAGACTTTTCCTTTAGACTTTGAATGATGATTTTTGTGGTAGTTTTTATTATGATTTTTAGGCGTTTGTTTCATGAGTTTGCTTTTGGTAATATTATAATTATGTATGAGTACTTTGTGTACGAGGAGAAGAGTACGTGGACATAGTAGTAAGATCAATATCTACGTGGTTACATTTAAGTTACAGCTCTTTTTAAAAGTATTTCGATTTTTTTTAGTTTCTCTTTAACAGTACATATTACTTTTATAGATAAATTTCTGGAGGTATTTTCAATTTAATACAATATATATTTTTTCATTTTATTATTTTTGGATGTGTATGTAGTTGTTAAATTTAATATTTACGGTTTAAAATATATAATATATATGTGTACATATGTATGTATGTGTTTGTTATATATATTTATATATGTATATGCGAATAATTGAAGCATTAGTTACATTACAATAGAAATTTAGGATTTTTTTTGTTTTTTTTTTGCTTGTAGTAGGTTTTAAAGCAAACTCGCGCTTACTACATACAAGTATTTAGAGAAATTTCAATTATGTTGTACGCATGTATATGTTTTTTTTTTTAACTAATAGTATTTATTTTGTTAATGCTATCTCTATTGTATGAGGGCTTTTAGTTCTTTTATAAAAATTATATTAATTCTAACGCTTATGTTTAACAAACGCTTAGATAACGGGTTTTGATTTTTATTTTGCAATCAAAATTTCTTTTTATACGTTTAACAAACAACAGGTGAAATGAAAAAATAGAACCTTGGAAAACGATAAAGGAAAATTTTACTTTTAATGTGTATGTATTTAGTTCAATAACAAATGAAATAATAATTTTCAAATTTTTGCAAAATCTCATACAATTTTAGGTATTAACATACATACATTTTAATGCCATTTTCAACCAAAAAATAAGTAACAAACAAAAGAGTCTAGTTAAATCGAACACTTTTACGCTGCACCGACATTTAATATGTAGGCAAGTAACACCTTTTAGCATATAACCAATTCTAACTTTTACTTAATTCAATACAAATACATATATAAAACAAAACAGAAAATATATACGGGTTTATGTATATGGATAAATTAGACAAGCTGCAACGCAACGGTGGAGAAAAAGAATGCGCACGGAAGTAGTAAGAATCTGCACATTCTTAAGGCAACATATTTAGTTGGTTTTTAACGGTAACTAACTTTTGAACACAATATCTTGAATATACAACATTCTGTTGCGCCATCAGCAACTTGTCTCTTTCACCCACTCTATTAACATTACTTGAAAAAAAGATACAAATGTACTACTAATTATAAAGGAAATTAAAAGTACCACTATTCAAATTACTTCCGTTGCACGCCCGTTGCGTGCGATGGTGGGGGACATTTAAGGCAGGCACACGCCCAAACGCGCTCATGGCGCTTTGATACGATTTTATTTGCTTTGTGATTATTACAATCGGAACTGACGCCATGGCGGTCAGCGCGGCAAATACGAGTATAAATCACAATCAAATTTATTTGTATATGTATAGGTTTGCGTAACTTATCCGACATTTTTTTGTGCCATTTCTAAATGGTGGCTTTTTGTAAAAAGAGGAGCTATCAGCGTGTTGAGTGTTTGCGTTTGTTTGATTTCGATAACATTCTATACATTCTACACACACAATACATATAATTTTCTTTTTAGCCATCGAACAAATGACCGAATTAATGTATGTATGCACACATCGCACGTCGAATAATATGACGAAGTATTACAAAATTTCTAAGTTTTATCAATTCATACAGTCAGTATACAAACAGACAGATTGAAAGACACATTACTTGCACTATATTTGGGAAGTGTTATCTGTTAGACTGAACATATTCTGCTTATCAAGCATTTAAATTGTATAATGAAATCTCCGAAAACGTAAATTATGAGTTACATCTCTATATTATTGAGCGTGCGACATATGCATTTGTGTTTTAGTATTACGCGATTTCATAATTTTTATTTAATTTCTGTAGCCCTTCTTAGCAATGCCCACTTCATATTAGATATAATTTACTGTACTATCGAATTGTTTGAAAGCATTTGTATATTTGTTACTTTACTCTTTATCTCTACTAATCGAAAAAAGTTCGTTGCATTGTTTTCCTATATATTCGCTTCAGTTTTTTTAAGTTTAAGCCAGATTTAGCCCTCCTTGCCTGCTATCCTAATTTTGTATTTTAATTAGTTTTTGCATTTGCTTTGCGGTACCATTTTTCAGTTGGTTTGGTTTTTATCTGTGTTATTTTTTTTTTTTTTGGTAATGTTTTGAAAATTTAATGTAGGTATACTTTAGAACGATTTTACATCAGCTAATAGAATATCATTGCTTGATTAATTTTTCTGGTTTTTCACTTGATATCTTTTATATAGGTTCTTTTTTCGAAGTTCACTCAATACACGATCATGTAATTATTGAATAAATTTGCAATATTGCAGTATTTGCCGTTTTATTTTTTTTTTACTCCTCAGAGAAATCAGTATCGTCACTATCATCGCTTGTGCCAGAAAGAAAGTCTAACCAGTGGTAGTCTCGTTGTTCAACAAACTCCCACAAGTAGATCTGTAATAAAAAAAACAACAAACTCATCAGTTATATGTAGTTATGGCTTTAAATATGAAGTAGAACTTAATATGAACTTACATCCAGTAAATCAATGAAATCATTTGAACCACGATGTAATTTACGTGCGCGTTTGGGTAAACCCACATCGACCAAGTCTCCATTGGGGAGAGCATGTTTGTAGAAACATTTGTTGCCAAATGGACACTTGCCATCCCCCTATTTGTGAAAATTAATTTAATTAAAGTGCTAATAATACACAAAATATTCTGAATACCTACCTTCTTAAAGTATTTACAGTCTTTAACACCAAGCGCTACCCGATAATCATTGAGCAGCTTATCCTTTTCTTCCTTAGTTTCCACCCAAAAGGCACTGGGGCAAACAAAATCTGAAGAAACGCGGCACTCAGGGCACGAGCTGTAATTGTAAGATAAATTTCTTAAATTGCTTCCCATATTAACAAAACCTTCATTTCTAATGTGTTGGCAAAGAATTATTCATAAACAAGTTACTTTTAGATCCAAAAAATTGTTGATCGTTTACATATCGCTAGCTTAGAGTGAGAAGTTGCTAAGTCCTATTTTAAAAAAATTTCAGGAAGAGGAGAAAACTGCATATAGCCATTTTGTTCAAGTACCTATTTCGCAAAACTTTGAATACAACGTTTTGGCAAAACTCCATATGAATCAGAGGGATTCGATCTTTATTAAAAGATTTCGAACAATATTTCCTTATCGGAATGAAAAAAAATAAAACAAGTACCTTTATCCTTTTCGAAAAAAGAATTTTTAAGTTATTTAGCTTCCTGTATAAAAATATGAGTTTTCATGAAATTTGGAGTTAGCAATTTTTTATAGGATGTCATAATTAAAAACAAATAAAATGTTTACCGTGTAATTTTGTGTTCAAACTGCTTTGCTTGTCGCCACTTTCGGATACATTCCAGACAGAAAATGTGATTACAATTAGGCAATATACCGAAGCGTTTCTCGCGCCCAGCTTTCTCCATTATGGTGTCGAAGCAAATACCGCAAGTTTTATCCTTAGAACGGGCAATAGCGAACGACCATTCCATAGCTTGTTCATGTTGCTGTAGACATTCTTGATTATGTTTTCGACGTTGCGTTTGATCGCTGGGATGTAAGCAGAATTGGTCGCACATTTTGCAAAGCTCCATGTGTACGCCATATGCACAATATGCACCGTAGGGACAGGGGCCTTCATACGGGCATACCATTTCCAGCATGGCTTCAGCATCGGCTCCTTCAACAATGCTCATACGTGATGCCCCATGAGCACCACCGACCACATCGGCCCAAGATTTTTGAGCATCTGCGTTCATTGGACACAAGGCAGCTGCACCATGGTTCGTCAGGTCATCAGCATTGGTTTCTGAATTGTGAGTTGGTCTGTAGTTTTTCGGCACAAACACTGGTGCATTTGCCCAATTCTGTCGACTTGTACTTGGTCGACTGTTCAGGGATTCTGCTCCAGTTTTACCATTAGTTTTTGAAGAAGTGGTAGGGGTAGTGGATTCAGATGCAATGCCGCTAGCATTGATGCCTTCACCTCCAGATAGATCGTGAGAAAAGCGACATAAGCTCCCAAAACGACATATTCCCCGTTGAAAATACCGACAAATGGCAGCATTCACTGCCATATTGGTTTGGGTCCTAGGCACTGCGGTTGCACCTTCATCGACGGCAAGGTTGGACATCATGTTAGGCAACGCAGCAGCACCACCACCACCTCCAACTAATGGGACAAAAGTAGCTGAAGCGCTCATCCTTATCGAATTATGTACTTGTATGCTTGTCCTTTTCAAAAAACGTGCTCAGTTCAATAAACTACTTAGACAGGGTTGTTGCGAGTTCTTCTCCTGCCTCAACGTGTTTTCAATTGAGGGTTTGAATAGCGCTAACTAAATTAACAAGCTGTTCACGCACACGTCTGAGGCAAATGAACTCTCAATTGATTTTGTGAAACAACTCCAACTCTTTGTTAATTTTGCTTCAGCTTGTACCCTGTGCTCTGTACAAAACCAAGCTTCTGCCGAAAACGCCAAACTTCGTTTTTTTTGCCACTGCTTATGTATGTCCCTTTGTCGTCTATGAAGCAGATAGCCCCAATATGGCTTTGTCTTTGCTTTCTTAAGTTACTCTCCGTCTACCTGCAAAACAAAAGACCGGCCAAACATTAGTGCTGCAACGGTCAGAATTCCTAGTAGGGTGGTTTTAATGAATTGTAAATTTTGCACCTTTACCAAGTTTGAGGTTTTATTTGAACTCATTACGTTAATAGCTCTATAAAATAAGTACTAAATTTATTTAAGTTTAATATTTCCAAATTATGCAAAAAGCTATGGTTAAATTACAGCACCGAGATGAAATCAAATACTTCATCAGCTTGTTGAAGCGCACCCTTGAATAATTGCCACAGCTGTCACTTGTACAGTGCTGCCAAACTAAAAGTGACAGCAAGGTAGCAAGCAATGCAGTCCGCAGTCTGATAGGCAATACACATTTGGCCAATTGGCCATGAAAAACGTATTTTGACAATGAACAAAACAAATAATGTAGAAACTTTTGCTAAAATTTAGTCGGGACTGAAATGGAATTTATTTTTTCCACACCAAGTATAATGGTAAAACTTTTTTTGTGTACACTTGTAATTGCAACACAATTTTAAACCCACTTCATTTAATTTTTATACATGACTCTATTACATCAGTTTATTGTTAACAGCATATTTCGCCAAAATGAACTGACCAAGTTCAAAACTTCCCAAACGACGCGCATTTGGAGCTTCCATGGCCATGTCCAGAAAACAGTCGCCAAAGTATGTACACACAAACACACTCATATAAATACATAATTGCACAAATGACGACCTTTATTTCGCAACTCACAACCATACATTAATAACATACTTTAGTTTTATATGAAATAACACATTTCCACTATAAAAATCACCTTTTGCAAACAATTCTATCCAATTTTCTTGAAATACCTCGAAATATTACTTACAATTTGCGTCTTTTACAAACGCTGAACAAATTTTCTGACTTCCTCTGACACTGACGTTTACCACAGAAAAGCACAAAAGGATGCCAGATTAGGATGGAACGATACCAGTAAATACAAGTACATACTCGATACCACGTAATTTTGGTATCGATACTTTTGAACCAAGTACTGAGTAGGTATTGAAAAAAAATACTCACTTCTTATTCAACGTCCGAGTCACAATATAAGGCCTGTATGCAGCTCTCAAGAAAAGCAAAAACTCCATATAAAAGACGTACAAGAAATGGCAAAGAAATTTTCTTGAGTCAAATTTCCTTAAGGCAGTACGCAGTTCTTAAGAAATTTACTACGCTTTCTACTACTATGCCCGTTCCATTATTTCTTGAGGAAAGAGTGAGGCAACAGGCTGTGAAGTATCAAAAATGTCAAAATTCCTTGGACACACACGCGAAATAATGCAAATTTTTTCTTGAGCATTTTCTTGAGAGCTGCATACAGGGCTTTAATCAGTAAACAACCTTCGGTGAATTTGGCGACTGCCTTCCTCGGAGATGAATATTGTTACGATTATCCTCGAAGCCTTGAGGGATTTCCCAAAATATACTCGGGCTCGTATCGCTGGATTGTTAAATAAATGCTAACGATCACCAAATTGTAGTACAATTACCTTTATTGTACAACAAACAATTTACAGTACTCGCTAATACAGTAAAAACACTTTACAATACATGTTAAAGCAATAACAACGCTTTACTAAACTTGTTAACACAATTAAACTTATAGCTTGCTTATTCGCAACTCACTTCTCTGGTCACTATATTTTTAGCTTGCTGACTTGTAACTAACTAACTTCGCTGTGGCGGCGCCCTTATAAAACTGCGCTCGCACTTATGGCAACTCTAGAACGTTCTGAAGTTTATCGCTCATTCTCTTTCTCTCGCTGTTCGCAGTGTTCATCCAACTTGACGTTTCTCTTTGTGGAACATTCTACGTCATTCCTCGAACATTCTACCAATTTCTCGTTGTTCGCTTTGTGTGGCCGCAGTATTCGCCACACTGCCCTCCACCTAAGTCTGCACGTCCCGATCAGACACACATGCTGTGCCCAACGATGCAGGCCTTTACAAGTGGATCACCTTCATCTTGTTTCTTGGTCTCCCAACGGTCTGGATTCGATACACTGTGTCATTCAGCCGTTTGATGACCTTATACGAACCTTCCCAGTTGCATTGCAGTTTTGGGGGCAAACCTTTCTTCCGTTGTGGGTACAGCAACACTAAGTCTCCCTCTTGGAAACCCTCGGAGTTCATTGCCTTGTCATACCTGGCCTTCATCTTGCCACTCATAATTTGAGTTCGCTGTCTCACAAGAGCATGTATCTCTCTCAGCTCCTCTTCCAGGATGTTGGACGTATCTTTCCCAATCCTCCTCTCATCGCCAGTTACTCCAAACTTCAGGTCACTAGGCAAACGGGGCTCACTGCCGAAGATTACCCTTGCAAGAGTTTTACCCGTTGTTTCATGAACTGCTGACCGGTATCCCATCAGGAACAAGGGTGGGCGGCCATCCTAATCTTTCTGACTTTTGTCAACGATCCTCCGCAAATGCTCCTCCAGGGTTCGGTTGAACCGTTCCACCATGCCATCTGATTGGGGATGAAGAGCCGTTGTTCGAGTTTTCCGGATACCCAGTATCTGGCCCATCTCTTGGAACACCGCCGATTAAAAATTTCTTCTCTGGTCAGAGTGCAGCTCTATAGGTACACCGTATTTCGCAACCCAATTGTAGGTGAATACCTCCGCTACTGTTTTAGCTTTCTGGTTTGGAATCGGGTATACCTCCGGCCATTGGCTAAATTTGTTTCCCTGTGGGCTCATAGGAAATGGACCGGCTACATCCATGGCAATCCGCTCGAAAGGTGCACCTGAATTAAACTGCTTCATCTGGCCATGACTTCTGGATTTCGGCCCTTTAGCTGCAATACACTCCGCACAGTTAGCAATCCACTCTGTGACCGATTGCCGACAACCAACCCAATAGAACCTCTGCTTAACCTTCTCCAGGGTCTTCGTGATTCCCAGGTGCCCTCCACTAGGACCATTGTGGAATTCCTTGAGTACATCCGGAATTCTTACCCTTGGAACTACTATCAGGTTGCAGGAGCACTGGCCATCTTCGCTTTGCCATACCCTATGCAAACAGCCAGATATTAATTTTAAGCTGTTCCATTGTGCTCATTAATTTTAAGCTGTTCCATTGTGCCCAGTACGCATTTGCGATGGGGCTTTCCGCTGCCATTTGCTCCTTAGTTGGCCTTCTGTCCACCTCCAGCCCATGCATCAAAAGCTCCAGATCTGTATCTTCCTGCTGCCACTTTCGTATCTGTTCTTCCTTCCACTCTTCCGCTGGTGCTATTGTCGTTAGACGGACGTCTATGATGTCCTCTTTGCCCTCAGCTTTTGAGTAGTGTTTACATTCCAGGCTACATGGTCGGCGGGACATGGCATCAGCATTACCGTGGACACTTCCCTTGCGGTGCTCAATAGCGAAGTCATAACTTTGCAGACTCTCAATCTACCGAGCTAGCTGTCCTTCTGGATTCTTAAACTGTAGTGGTGAGGCAGCTCAGCTCTGCATGGTCCGTTCGAACTCGGAAAAGTTGCCCATAGAGGTACTTGTGGAAATGTTTGACGCACTCCACCAACGCTAGTAGTTCTCTCCGAGTTACGCACTAGCATCCGTATCCAAAATAAACGTTGCACCTGGAACGGGATACACTAGCATAGGTGCAGTGCATAGCCGTTCCTTCAGAGTTTGGAACGCCTCCTCCTGCTCCTTTTTCCACTCGAAGGCTTTATTATTCCTAGTGAGCTCGTGGAGGCTATTAGCAACGCTGGCGAAATTCGGAACAAATCGGCGGTAGTAGGTGCATAGCCCAAAAAAACTTCGTAGTTCGTGCAGGTTCCTAGGTCTTGGCCAATCCTCTACTGCTTCTATCTTTTCCTTCGCAGTACAGACGCCCTCCGTTGTCACCTTGTGTCCCAAGTAGTTCACCTCCTTCTTGAACAGTGAGCACTTTTTAGGACTTAGCTTCAGACCAGCGCCAGCTATCCTCTGGAAAACTTCTTCCAAATTGTTCAGGTGTTCCTCAAAGCGTTTACCCAATACGATAATGTCGTCTAGATACACCAAACATGTTTTTCAATGCAGTCCTTTGAGCACATGGTCCATAAGTCGTTCAAAAGTGGCAGGAGCGTTGCATAATCCAAAGGGCATCACCGTGAATTGCCACAGACTGTCTCCAACGCTGAAAGCTGTCTTCTCCTTGTCCTCGTCACTTACCTCCACTTGCCAATAACCGCTCTTAAGGTCGAGTGTTGAGAACCACTTTGTTCCAGTCAACGAGTCAAGAGTGTCATCGATCCTGGGAAGAGGATAGCTGTCCTGTTTCGTCACATCGTTTAGTTTCCGGTAGTCTACGCAGCACCGCATTTGACCATCCTTCTTTTTCACAAGTACTACCGGCGAACTCCATGGACTCGCTGATGGTTCAATCACACCACTCTCGCTCATTTCTTTTATTATTTGGCTAACAGTTTCACGTTTGGCAAGTGGAACACTCTGAGGAGCTTGACGGATTGCATCGCCAGTATCAATGCGATGTTCCACAACGTTAGTCCTGCCTGGTTTGGCGCCATCCTTGTCGAATATGTTGGAGTATCTGCGGAGAAGTTCCTTAGCCTTGTGCTGGTATTTTTCTTCCAACCCTTCCGTCCATGCATTAATGTCTTCCGCAATGTCATTCTCGCCAATGCAATCGCTTTCAGGTAAATTTTCGCAGTTGAAGTTTGCCTCTACCTCTGGACATTGCCCCAGTACAGTTCCTCTTCGGAGTTTGACTGGTGATTTGAACTCATTGAGCACTCGAACTGGGATGCGTCCATCTTTTTCGTCTTAGCCAGGGTTTTACCAATAAGTACGTCCGGTGTAGAATTCTCTGTTGCTTCAACAACCCACAATTTGTTTGTCCTACAATCTCCATCAATCTTCGCCCACACAACTGCTTCTGACTTCGGTGGAATCTGCTCGCTTCCCTCTAGGATCACTCGCTCGCTGCAGTACGGACCATCATACCCAAAGCTATGAGGCACTTCCATGCTGTTGTACTTCATGATCCTGTTCTTCATGTCGATCTCCATACCTTGATCAAATAATAAGTCTAATCCAATGATGACTTCATCCATAATCGCCGCGACTATGAACTTGTGTAACACCGTCACATTCCCAATTGCGACTTTGCACGTTACCTCTCCTACAACTTGGCCGTCCTCACCAGTTGCTGTCCCCAACCTTGCTCCAGGTAATGGCCTTACCTCTTTAGTGACCAAATCAGATGGAATGTGATGCGCCCGTATCCACAGTTAGTACTCGCTCATGTCCGTCCACATACCCACCAACCGTAACGTTGCTCGCTTTTCTGCCAATTTTCGAGACGGAGATTATGGGGCATTCATTCGTCGAAGTAGCTGGACGATTCATCTGTAAATCACGAAGACGACTTTCCAATTCTTCTACGTTTGCTTCGACTTTCTCCTGTCTCTCTTCAAGTTTGTCCAGTATTTGTGTAATTTTTTCATCCTGTGCTTCCAGCTGTGATGATATGCGCGCCTCCTGTGCCTGTAGCTGAGTTTCTAACCGGGATGACACCTGCGATGACACCTGCGCTGATACCTCTGCAGATATACGTGTCTCCAGCGCTTGCATCTGTGACGACAGCTGTGATGACATCTGGAACATGCGTGTATCCTGTGCTTGCATCTGTGACGACGGCTGTGATGACATCTATGACGACAGCTGTGATGACATCTGGGACATGGCAGCCAATAACGTGATCATCTCTATAGCTGTTGATGAACTAAGAGCCTTTAGCTGTTCTTCAACCTTCCCGTGTGTCTGCTGCACATCCTTCGACGAACAAGCAGCCTCATCCTTCTGTTCGTCATTAGCGGATGCATCGTCGGGTTTACCCTGAAAGTCGTATTTGTCAACGTC